GCCAATCGCAGACAAATCTAACTTTATTCCTAACACTACCGCCACCAGAACCAAGCCGTTATTTCTCAAGACACTCGGTAAAGCTTGCAACGTGGCCCTTCCAAGTCGCGCCGCTGCACCATGTTCTTGCTAAAAAAAAATAGCTCAAACACCGACAGTTCCACTGATTCCTTCTTTGGCCAATGGCCATCCAAACCATGGCGCCGCACCAAGTCTATACCGTTATCATGCCGTGGCCGGCGATAAGCACGGCTGCATTATGTTGGAATGTCAACTACAGCGGTTGTGCACTTGCTACGGCAACACTCAGGCTTCGAATTCAACCAATGAAGTCTACAGTCATAAGTTACTGTCACCACAGATCATGTTCATGCATGCCTTCTACTAATACAAATACATTAACTTAGTTCGCTAGGTAAAACATAACTTCCCAGTTGGGGTTACACACGGTACACACAAACTCAGACGAACCAAGTCAAGTCTTGGCCCGAGCACAAATTGAACAAGCGCACATCCACCCAGATCAAACGCCCAAACACACAAACAACAACAAAAGGCGCCCAACTTCACTTCAAATTCTTCCTGGGTGGCAAAAGTAAACGGATCCATCATCTTGACGCCATTCTTACGTGAAGCATCAACAACTGTGCGTGAAGCTTAGTCCAAAAGTCCCCGTTCTGTACCACCGTAAGAACACAGGGTTTAGTAATATGATGTGATAAGCAGAAAAGGAGCACACTTTGCCCCTCAAAATAATTTCAATTGTAGCTGTCCAAGTCAACAAAGCAAAAGCAGGACGCATCCACAGCACAACATGATTCGACCTGGAACTACTGCAATGTTGGAGGTTCACAATAATGAAATTATCTCATTCATCTGGGCCGGCTCGCGGGCAAGTGCCTAGTGCATACATGGGACTAGGTTATCCTATCCAAAACACCACAATGGGGTTTGGGTGCCTGAGATCTCTTGGCTCACAGCAAATTGCTCTTGCCAATCTTTTTCTTTCTGAACCATGCAAGAAGACAGTATGTATATTATATTGAGAGAAGGAGAGATACAACTAGGCTTCCATACTGACTCAAAAAATGGCCAAAAGACTGAAAGAAGCAAACACCACATGACACTAGATCAACGAGCAAGACGACCCAGCAACCGACCTGATCATCTACAAAGGAAAGCGACAAGAACAACCTACGGCCAACCTGTCTAGCATCAGCCATGATCTGATCTAACAATTGCTGGACATGGGTAAAACTTTTGAAAAAACAAAACAAAAGCTGTTTCTTTCTCTCCAAATACTCCATGTAACTCAATCTCTTCCTCCTTGTCACTTGAAGCATTAATTCCATTCCTATAAATAGGGGCAGAAAATAAGTCACACTCTGACTTACATTCATAGAACAACCAATAATTAATTAAACTAAGTAGCTAAACAGTTGCGGCCACGGCTGGATTCCCCGGTGGGGGCGGGGGCGGCGTCGAATGCGGCAATGCGGGCCTCGTCCCAGGCCAGCCATGTGTCGCCGGCATTGCGGGCCTCGATGCCCTAGAGAAGGGCCTCGGTGCGCTCGTCCTAGGACGGCCATGCGTTGGCGGGGGCGGGGCCGTCGTCCCAAATCCGCCACTCCCTTCCCACGTCTTGCTTCCGACTCTCGTCCATGGCCACGTCGTGCAAGTTCCAAAAGGGGGCCATGGGATCTGGCTTCTTCTGCTCCTCATCCCCAAAACTGAAGGTGAGGGGGAGCTCCTTCCGCTGCGCCATTGACGAGGAAGTGGTGGATTGGAGATGGGCGAGAGGGGACTAGGGGGCACCGAAGGGTGGAAAGGATAAGGCAGAGAGGGGAGGGTGCTGGTCTTTATAGACCGCTGCAGGCGCCATTAAGGAGGCAGTTGGGGAGGCGGGAGGCCATCAAGCGGGTTGTTTCCCGACGAGAAACACGTGGTTGTGCTGCTCACACACCTCCTGGCCTCACAAGCTAGCCAAGAGATGATGCCGTGTGGCGACCACCCGATGGGCCGCCACGGGAGTCTGAGGGAGCGGCCACGCCATTAATATGGTGGGTGATTAGAGGTCAATCCCTTCCTCGCCGTTGATCATCTGTGCACAGTGGTGCGTGTAATGGTCGTAGGGAGCTTCAAAACCTGGCCGGGGCGCAAGGAGGAAGAAGATGAAACTTCCCTCCTGCGCTGGTAGTTGGGTTTCGAGCGAGCTCCAAACAAGGAGGCTGGGACGCCATTTTATGGAGGGAGCTCCAAAATAAACGCAGATTGAGGGGTGGATGGCGACACTGTTAGAGCTGTTTTTTGTGCTCCGTGCTCCATATGGCAGTTATTATGCAGTTCCGGTGGATATGCTGACTGTGCTAGAGTTGTTCTGAGGACCTGATCAGCAAATCTTTGACTAAGGTTAACCAACTTGTAATGCCTAAACATCGTAACATATATACTAGTGCAGCCAACGAATCATAAATCACCAGCTATACATTCACCATGAATCTTTCTGGTCAGCTGCTAGTTAATCTGCCTAACGCCAAATCTCACAGCTACTGTATCTTTTTCTCTGGCTTGTATTAACATAAAGACAACATGGCAGGAAAAATCACGACCTACTAACGGTTGCCTACAATCACCCAGGCCTGCAGCACACCTCAACACTTGAATAGTATAGCAGTACAAAGGATGGGTTCCTACATCTCTACAGATCACCCAAAAAAGGGGAAAAGAAAGAGCGGACCTACATACAAACATCTATCTAGTTATGCAGAAAAACTGAAAGAAAAAAAAATGTACATATGCATTGACACTTAGGAATCACATACTCCCTCCGTTCACAAATATAAGATGCTTTGGTTATTTCAATATGGACTACATACATTTTGAAATGAGTGAACAGACACTAAAACGTGTCTATATACATCCGATTCAGAATTAAGTTAGAATATTTATATTTGTGAACGGAGGGAGCACAACATCGGGAGCTCTCAGATTTAAGTTATTCAACAATCTAAGCTACAAAGCAAAAACACTGTAATCTAGTAAATGGTTTGTTCAGTGTTTGCTAGTCTGTACCTCCAATGTAGAAGCTCATGTAGGGCATGGCCTTTTGAACGTGTTCCTCTACATTTACCTTGTCACATCGTCCTGAGCTGAGCTCAATTGTGTACAACCCAGATTGTGTACTCACGAAGATGACACTGACACCTTCCGCAAAACCAACCGCTGACACGGTGAAATTGTCCAGGAGGATAGAACGAGGGAGCAACGGTTCAAGCTCAATGAACCTGCGTCGCGCCCATCCTGCAGCTCCGTTGGGACCAGCCTCCATTGACCATAGATAGAGTCTAGGCTTCATCACAGACGCAAACAGCAGCATGCCGTCCTCCACCCCCATGAGGTCGACGTAACGCTGGCTCTCGTCCTGGTCCTCATATGGCACACTGATCACTGATAGTTCTTGCTCACCAATGTCGTACTCCAAGACACAGCTACTCTCCACACAGGGGACATAGACCTTATTTCCCACAACCGCACTGTGCGCCTTGTCATAGATTAAATCCGGTTCATCAACATCAACAGAGATCACGTCGCTCCACTCACGAGTCTTTGAAGAGTAGACGGTAGCCAAGGCCATTGACCCTTCTGCATCGTCGGAGCCCACCAAGGCGACGAGGAAAGGACCGCCGTGGCAGTCGAGGTGGTCACATAGGTCCTTGTCACAGAGCACTGCCGCATTACAGCGTATGCCCTCGGACACATCCTCGGGGCCGTCGTCCTCCCACCGCATGATGCCGTGGCACTTGGGGTCAACGTGAATCTCCCAGTCCTCGTGGGTGACGAGGTCGGAGACAACGAAGTATTCACCCATTTCGGGGGAGTAGAGGAGGACGAGGCCGTGCCGGGAGTCGAGAACTTGGTAGCCCTCGAGGTCCTCGAACTCCGGCGGGCTGAAGGTCGTGGTGGAGACGAAGTGGGAGACCCAGGAGGGTCGCTTGTACACGGGGGGTTGGTTGTGGAGGAAGCCCAGCATGGGCGGCGCCCGCCGGAACGCGCGGTACTCGCGGGCGAAGGCTTCGTCGGAGAGGATGCGGAACCAGCTCCTGCAGACGGCGGCGGCGCGGACGAGGCTCCCGGGGTCGTCCGCCGGTAGGCGCAGGAAGATCTCGCGCATGGCGTTGTCTACCGGCGACGGCGTCCGGCGGCGGCGGCGTCGCGGCGGAGGCAGGCTCGGCGCCATGAGGATTGGGGATTTTGTCGAGGGATTTGGGGGGCGCATTTGGCAGTGGGAGCTCGATTGGGGCGCCGCCGCGTCTAGGTCTTTTTTTTGTTTTTCGAGCTGCCGCGTCTAGGTCTTTTTGAGAGGGGCCCTTTTGAGAGAGAGTTGTTTTTTGAGAGAGAGTGAGAGAGAGTACGATGGGCTCGTGTGGCTATGGGAATGGGCTGACTCCTCTCCTCTCGGTCCAATTCGCAAAAATGCAATAGCCGAGGTCTTCTCAAGAAGAGAAAAGAAAAGAAATGCAATAGCCGAGGCAAAACTATAACAAATAATCCACATAATCCTAAGAGCAACTCAAACGCAGGACCCAAGCGGACTCGGATTTTGTTCATTTTTTATCTGATTGGGTCGCTCGTCTGCCTAGGGGACATGCGAGGACGATGAATACACCCAACGCAAAGACATGCGGCGGACCCATTTGCTGTCTCTGCGACTGGTTCCGCCGGCGAAGCAAGCGCCCGTGCAGCTCGAGCAGGAAGCAGCGGGGCTAGAGTGGTCGGGCATGGCCGGGCGCGGCCAGAAGATTGAGAGCGGGCGCGGCCAGGAGCACCCATGAACGCGGTCAGTCGCTCCAGAGCAGGCGCGGCCGAAGAGCGCGGCGGCGGGGAGGCGGAGGGAGGTGAGGAGGAGGGTGGCGTCTCCGGCGAGAGAGAGGTTGGCCAAGATTTGGACGGACGTGATGTCCGTTTGGGTCACCCCATTGGGCCAAGATTTGTGTCCAGATGACCCAAATGGACAAAATGGGTCACCCGGTTGGAGTTGCTCTAAAGAAACTACTTAAAAAAAGCAGAATGAATTAGAAATGGTAAATCCTATCTAAGCGGAAAATGGTAAAAAAAACAAGGATTATCCCCGAGCCTTAAGAAACTCTTGTTCCACTAGGAAAGAAAAACTAAATTCTCAGTGTGGGGAGCGCGACGGAAAGCAATGTACAAGGACATCTATCAAAGCCCATTTGTTGTCCATAGCTTTGTGCAACATTACCTAGGTGAGCTGCAAGCAATCCAACTCAGAGTGACTCAGGTGCCTGTTTCATCCCCGAATAGGTCAACACAGTGGATCGCGCCTCCTGTTGGGCTAGCAAAATTAAATGTTGACGCCGCTATTGCAAGAGGAGGTTCATATGGAGCTGCCGGTGCCATTTGCAGAGATCAAGCCGATATGTTCCTTGGTGCGTTAGAAGTGGTTTTCCCAAATATTTCTGAGTCGGCGACTCTCGAATCACTTGCTATCAGGGAGGTGTTGGCCTTAGCAGATGATTTGTACGAGAGGAGCATTCAAGTGGCATTGGATTGCAAAGTGGTAGTGGACGATATACGACAGAAGAACCCAGCACTTTACGAGGCGATCATACATGAAATCATGCACCGGAAAACTCTTTTTACTTTTTGTACTTTATTCATGAATTTAGGAGTTCGAATGTCGAGGCTCACAAACTCGTGAAGCACGCATTATCCCTAGGGGCTGGCCGCATGTTTGGTTAGGTCAGCCCAATGGTCGTCATTTCGTCCTTGTAAACATTGTGACGGTTGAATAAAAAACTTCAGAGTTTGCCTAAAAAAAATCCAGGTGACTTTTTTTTGGTTCCTAAAAAAAATGTGTGATTTTTTTTTCTTTTCCTTTTTCGAAAAAGGGGAAACCCGACAAGTCTATGAATGTGAGTACCAGAACAAAGTTAGTGTGGCTCATCACACTTACAGATAATTGTTACTTGATATTTCTCTGTTAACTCCTAGAAAAGTTATTTATCAGCTGCTAGAGAAAATAGCGAAACCGACCCAAGATTTCATAACTTGGTGAGTAATATTAGCTTCTTTTTGAGATGCTCTCATAAAAGTTGAAATTCATCTAAATAGTGGAACAGCGTGTGGCTGCCATCTCAGAAAATTTAAATCTTCTATAAATACTCAAAAGGGAAAATAGGAAGGCGCATTTGGATACGGATGGTAGCTTGTCCATATTTTATTTTATCAAAGATGGCTCATTATTCGTACAAACATTAAGAGTTTACAAGATTATGGACACAAATAAGGATACAACGGCGATACAACGAATGAGCAGCGTTCACTCAGATCTAGCCAACATATGAGCCACCTCATTAGCACTATGGTTACATGAACAAAAGAAATAGAAGAAAAACTACTAGCCAGCGATTTGACGTCTGCAACAATTGAGCCTGCTGCCTCTAACAGCAGCATTCAACTTTGTGATCAGAGTAAGACAATGAGACTGAAAGGCCAAGCTTCCATATTTAGGATATGAATTTAATCTATTATGAGCATCATATTTTGTCTTGCTTGGTTTTCAAGCTGTGGATTAAATTTATACTCCCTCCATTCCTAAATATTTGTCTTTCTAGAGATTTTAACAAACGACTACATACCGAGTAAAATAAGTGAATATACACTCTAAAATATGTCTATATACATCCGTATGTGATAGTTCATTTAAAATCTCTAAAAAGACAAATACTCCCTCCGTAAACTAATATAAGAGCGTTTTGATCACTACTTTAGTAATCTAAACACTCTTATATCAGTTTTCAGAGGGAGTATTTAGGAACGGAGGGAGGAGTACTTTGTGGCATTATATACACATGTTTTCTCTCTGTCATCTCGGTATTTGTAGGCTTTGCATTTCAAATACAAAGAACACAAAGACCGAACTCCAAACCGGTAGCAAAACACATATTGTGCCTTGTGTACCTCAAACACTCCGATTGTTTGTCATGGTACAAAAGAATATGGTGATAGGTTAAATACAAAGAGTATGGTGATGATTAAACCATTCTTCAACGGGAACTCAGTTTTTCCTTTTTCGCTTGACACGCTGCCACCCTCTATACTTCAACTCTAATGCCGTGGCTGGCGACAAACATCACCCCAATTGTACGACGTCAAAATGTCATCGAAAGAAGTTGTGCAGTAGCTGCACCAGTACTCAAGTTTAATGGCTAATTTTATAGAACAACTAGTCATTCTGGCATCTCGGTCTTGATAAAATTTATGAAACCACCCGCGCAAACGACATGGGCTTGTCTTCGAGCACATTGCACAACACAGAAATATAGAATGCCCTTCCAGAGATCGACGCACCACATAGATATCTTCGTCTTCTGAAAATTTAGGTCCATACATAAGTCTACACTCATAAGTTACTGTCATAACCGATCATGTTCTTCATGCACTAGTACTCTAGTAGCGCTTCCTGACATTCATTAGGTGAAGCATAGGATCCTGCTGGGGTTACAGGGCACAACACAATGCACGCAACTCGGACCAACAAACTCAAGTTTTGGCACAAGCACACATATGCCAAAAGTGCATCCATTCTAACCAAACTGTCCAACACAACCAGAAACAGAAGACACCGAAGTTCACTTCAAATTCTTCCCAGGCAGCAAAAGTAAACAGACTGATCATTATCTTGACGCCGTTTGATTACATCGCTGTAGCACCAACAATTGCGTGGGAAGCTTAGTCAGAGGTCGGCAACCGCCCCCATTCTGCATCGTAAGAAGACGAGGCTTAATAAGATGATCTGATGGGTAGAAGAGGAGCATAGTTTGCCCCTCAAAACAAATTCAGTTGTAGCTGTCCAAATCAATCAAGCAATAACAGGAGGTATCCACATCACAACCATTCAATCTGGAACTACTGCAATATTGGAGACACATAGCAACAGAACTTTCCCTTGCTAAGTGTTTGAGACTAGGTTATCCTACCCAAAAGACCACAAGGAGGTCTGGGTGTCCGAGACCACAGCAAAGCTCTGGTTACTTAACTACACTCTCTGTTCCTAAAAATAAGACGTTTTGGCAGTTTAAATTAGTAAACTGCCAAAACGTCTTATATCTAGGAACAGAGGGTGTACTTTACAGATTGCTATTGGCAATGCTAGGAGCCTAGGACCTAATCAGCAAAGCTCCAACTAGATTAACCTATCCATTAGGCCTGATCAGAGCAACATATCTACTAGAGCAGCTAGTGAAACATACAGTACCAACTATAAAATCACCATGGAGCAGATATGTTGATCAGCACAAGGCTGATGATTCCACACAAGACACACTACTGGGAAATGTGCATAAAAATGTCTATCTAGCTAGTGGGAACCATACATACAAATGTCTATCTAGATACGCAGAAAAGTGAAAAGAAAAACTCAACATACTCATCACATGAGTCAATGGTGTGTTTCGTCTTCATGACTTCATGTGCATATTTACAAAACAGTACAAGGGTAGTTTGTTGTACCTCTAGTGTAGAAGCACATGTATGGCATGATTTTTCCGAGGCTTGGCTCTCTGTCCATGTTCTTGATTCGGCCCGAACTGAGCTCAACTTTGTACAACCCAGCCTTTGTACTCAGGAATATGACACCAACACCTTCTGCAAAACCAACCACCGACACGTCCAAGAAGGCATAAGCAGAGAGCTTTGGCGCGAGCTCAACGATCCTGCATCACGCCAAAGCCGTCGTTCTATCAGGACGGACCTCCATTGACCATATGTGGAGCCTAGGCTTCAGCACCGTCGCGAACAGGAGCAGGCCGCCCTCCGCTCCCACCAGTCTGGCAAATGGCACACGTATCACCAACAGTTTTTGCTCACTCATGTCATACTCCACGACACTGTCGCTCTGCTCACAGGGGAAATAAGCCTTGTTTCCCACTACTGCATTGTGCCCGGTCATCTCGATGACATTCGGTTCCTTGACGGAGATCATGCCGCTCCACTTCCGAGTCGCCGATGAGTAGACGGAGGCAAATGTTATCTGCCGTCCCTTGTGGGAGCCCACGAGGGCCACGAGGAAAGGCCCGCCGTGGCAGTAGAGGTGGTCGCAGCCGTCCTTGGCACAGAGCACCGCGGCATTCCAGGTGATGTCCTCGTCCTCCTCCTCGCATTCGCCCCAGTCCTCATCAAACAGACCATTCCAGATGATGCGGCGGCAGGCGGTGTCAGCCTTGATCCTCCACCGGTCGTAGGTGACGAGGTCGCAGATGACGAAGTCCTCGCACCTTTTAGGGGTGTGGAAGAGGACGAGGCCGTGGCGGGAGTCGATGGAGGGCCAGTGGCGGCGCTCGTGGCACGCCGGCGGGCGGAAGGACGCGGTGGAGACGAAGTTGGAGACCAGGTACTCCTCGTGGCGCCTGCGCCGCCCCCTGCCCCACGACCTCTCGTGGCTCTCGTTCTCGTTGTGGAGGAAGCCCAGCATGGGCGGCGCCCCGTGGAAGGCGCGGTACCCGCGGGCGAAGGCGGCGTCGGACAGGATGCGGCGCCAGGTCGTGCAGACGGCGGCGGCGCGGACGAGGCTCTTGGGGTCGTCCGGCGGGATGCGCAGGAAGATCTCGCTCGTGGCGTCGTCGTCCAGCGCCGGCGGCGAGTGGCGGCCGCGCTGCGGCGGAGGGGGGCTCATCGTGAGCGGGGATTGGGCCGCCGTCGCGTCGCCGGATTGGGGTTTGGGTGGAGGATTTTGGGGGGAGTGGAGGTAGTGGAGTGGAGCAGCGCCGCCGAACCGCCGTGGTGTGGAATGTGGAGGGATTTCATAAAAACAAAAATCAAAATCATGGTGTGCGGTTACAAGTAGGGATTTTTCTTGGATCTTGGGTCTTGATGGGCTGGCATGAGTTGTCACACACATGAGAAATGGGCTGGGCCGTTAGGCTACTACCTCTTGCTCTCGAAAAGAAGCAAATATTGTTGTCTAAAAACGAAAAGCAAATGTTTTATGTTTTTTTTACTTATCAAAAAATGTTTTATGTTATTTTTCTTCAGTGATAACGATGAGGCAATACAAGATGATGGGTTAATAAATTACGAACATCCCCACAAGGAAAAATTATTATGAAAAATCTTGAGCTTGCCGGATTATTATCACACATGACACATCGTTCATTGCCCTTGTTAATGGAGTGGAAATAATACAAGATATATGCATCTTCGCAGTCGCCGACAACAGGAAAAGAAAAACATATTTCTTTACTACCTCTTTCTCCTTATCTGATGATGGTGAATGTATGGCTTGCCCATGACAGGCGTCTATGAAACCACGAAAATGGCCAATACTCCGATTAATTATGCTTTTTGTTTTGTTTTGTTTTAGAGTAGATAAAGTCTTTTGATGGTCTTAATTCTTTTGACAGCTTCAAATTTCCACGCCGAAAGTATGAGAATTATACAAGCCATTAGCAATATACTACTTCCTCCGTATCAAAATATAAGAATGTTTTTGGATACTATCGTAGTGTCAAAAAACGTCTTATATTTTCAAACAAAGGAAGTAGATTTTATTCTTTTTGTTCTACCCTAAAATTATAGTAATATCTAAGAATTTTAGCTTTGATCCTTATGCTATCCTATTCCTAGCTCGGGTCCTTTGCTCTATAATAAAAGACTTCCTTGCTGAATGTTGCTGTAATAGGGCAGATTCAAAACCCTGTAATATGTTGTCTGTGGCAGCTACTCTGGTTGTCGCTGAGCATTGTTAACAGTCTGGTGGTTGTGTGTGGTTTTGCCTTGGCTTTATAAAAAGTTGGGGCGGGGGGAAACCCCTTCCATTTCAAAAAAAAAAAAGGATGTCGCTGGAAAGAACCATATCTTCAGCGTAGTCGTTAGCCCCCAAAATAGCAGAACCAGCAGAACAGCGGGTTTTTTTGCTGCCCCGTTCCACCTTTCAGTTACATGTCGTATAGTAAACCAAATGTGGTATGCATCAGTATCGACCTAGGCCACCTCTACTATATGTATATATATATATATATATATCCTTTGTAAGCCACTACACGGGATAAGTTGATCATTTGTAATATCCCGGCATTTGTAATCTCTCTTGACATAGTGAATTTTCGTTGGTTGGCGTCCATGGTGTTTTTCCCTTTCGCATTGAAGGGGGTTTTCATGTAAAAATCTTGTGGCCCCTATGTTTGATTCAATCTTCCTCGTTTTCTTGCCTGTCATATCTCTAACACATGCAGTGCCTTGTGTACGCACACACACCCCAATTGATAGTCATGGTACAGAAGAATTTGTTGATGAATGATTCATTTTTCCACGGTAACTCAATGAGAGACATTTTTGGTTTCTCAGTTGTCTTAATGTCATCGACGGGGAGGCTGTGCAGTCGCTTCAACACCAATAATCAACAACTAGTCTTTCTGGCATCTCGATGTTGATAAAATTTTATGAAACCACATATCACCAAACAAATATGGGCTTGCCTTCGAGCATTTGCACAATACGGAAATATAGGATGACCTTCCAGAGACCGACACAGCCCAGCTGATTACTGCATAGATATCTCTGTCTCCTTAAAATTTAGGTACTTTAAGTCTACACTCATAAGTTACTGTCACAATTGATCATGTTCTACTTCCTTACCTTAATTCCTTAGGTAAAACACATAAATACCCTGCTGGTGTTACGGACACAATGACTGCGGACTCAAGTTTTGGCACAAGCACAAACAGAACAAAAGTGCATACACCCTGACCGAACAATCCAACACATCCAGCAAACGAAGACACCGAAGTTCAGTGGTACAAATTCTTCCTGGGCAGCAAAAGCAAAGAGATCCATCCTTTTGACGCCATTTGATTATACTGATGTAGCAGTAGCACCAACAGGAAGCTTAGTCAGAGGTCGGCATTTGCCCCCAAGCTGTGCCATAAGAAAACAAAGCTTCATAAGTTGATCCGATGAGCACAAGAGGAGCACACTTTGTCCCTTAATAACTTCAACTCTAGCTGTCCAAATGAACCAAGAACATCCACAGAACGGTATGATTCAAAATGTACTACTACAATGTCGGAGACACACATCAAGGAAATCCTCTCCTTCCCTTGCGTAAGTGTTTAGTGGCGCGCACACACACACACCCACACACACCAACCAAAGCTCTGATCACATAACCTGTATGCAAACTGCTCTTGGCAATGCACAACTACTGGAAACTCTACACATAAATGTCTATCTATTTACGTAGGAAAATGAAAGAAAATCTCTACATGCTCCCTCCGTAAAGAAATATAAGAGTGTTTAGATCATTTCTTTAGTGATCTAAATGCTCTTATATTTCTTGACAGAGGGAGTACTTATCAACGTAGTTAAAGCTAGTCAATGGCGTGTTTAGTGTTCATGACTAAATGTGCATATTTCGTACCTCTAGTGTAGAAGCTCGTGTAGGGCATGACCCTTTTGCAAGATGTGGCTCTATGTACCTCCTTGCTTCGGCCTGAGTTGAGCTCAATTGTGTACAACCCAGCCTCTGTATTCAGGAAGATGAGACCAACACCTTCTGCAAAACCAACCACTGACACATCCAAGAGGGCACGAGAAGGGAGCAACGGTGCAAGCTCAATGACTCTGCGCTGTGCCCATGCCGCAGCTCCGTTGGAGCCAGCCTCCATTGACCATAGGTAGAGTTTAGGCTCCAGCACGGCGGCGAACAGCAACATGCCATCCTCCATCCCCAAGAGTCCAATGGCCGGTATGTCCTTATTATCGTCTTCAAATATTGGATCAATCACCGATAGTTCTTCATCGCCCATGTTGTACTCCACAACATTTTGGGTACATTCACATTGGAAGTAGACCTTATTTCCAACAACACCAATTTGCCCAGTCATCTCGATGGCATTCGGCTCCTCAATGGAGATCATGTCGCTCCACTCATCAGTCTTTGATGAATATACGGATGCAAAGGTGATCCCCTGATCCTCGTCGGAGCCGACGAGGGCCACAAGGAAAGGGCCGCCATGGCAGTAGAGGTGGTTGCATCCATCCTTGGCACAGATCACTGCAGCATTCCAGGTTACTCCCTCAACCTCCTCCTCCTCCTCCTCATCATCATCATCATCATCATCATGGTCTTCATCCTGATGACTCCATATGATTTCCGCGCACTCGGGGGCGGCGTCGATCCTCCACCGGTCGTAGGTGACGAGGTCACAGATGACGAAGTCCTCGTCCCTCTTAGGGGTGTGGAAGAGGACGAGGCCGTGGCGGGAGTCGAGGACGCGCCAGTGGCGGCGCTCGTGGCAGGCCGGCGGGCGGAAGGAGGCAGTGGAGACGAAGCTGGAGACCAGGTACTCCTCGTGCTGCTTGATCCTCCCTCTCCCCCACGACCTCTCATGGTGCGTGTTGTGGAGGAAGCCCAGCATGGGCGGCGCGCCGTGGAAGGCGCGGTACTCGCGGGTGAAGATGACGTCGGAGAGGATGCGGCTCCAGGTCGTGCAGACGGCGGCGGCGCGGACGAGGGTCTTGGGGTCGTCCGCCGGGACGCGCAGGAAGATCTCCCTCATGGCGTCGTCGACCAGCGCCGGCGGCGAGTGGCGGCCGCGCTGCGCCAGGGGGAGGCTCGTCGTGGGGGGCATTTGGGCCGCCGTCGCGTCGCCGGATTGGGGTTTCCGTCGAGGGATTTGCGGGGAAGTGGTGGAGCAGCGCCGCCGCGGAGTGGAGTTGCGAGTGGGAGGAGTGGGGTTTCTGCGGTTCTGCGTCCTGAATGGGCTCGTGTGAACAGGCTGGACCGCTGGGCCTATTTCGTTTTGCTCTTGGGCTGCAGAGAGGCCGAGATGCTAATGTTTTGGTAGCCACAAGGAGAGAGTACAGCTATACCACCATAAGTAAAAAACAACAATCCTCAAAAAAAAAAAGTAAAAAACAACACATGTGCGTAAAAATACCCCTCTCGTTAGGGTTTCTTCCTCCTCTCGGTGACGGCGACGCCTAACCGTAGAGATCGGCTTCCTCCCCGGCCCTTCCCTTCTCCGCCGGCGACCGCTGGGGCCCTGGGGTCCCGGTTGGCGGTGCGGCTGCAGGGTTTCGATCGGGATCATACCGCTCGCGGATCACAAAACCTCGGGCAAGAGAATCATGGCTACTGCAGCGTCGAGTTTGGGTTCTGCAACGTCCGATCTCGAAGCACTGATGGAGGAACTAGGCTTGAAGGAGGACGATCTACAGGATGTGGTGGTGGATGATAGCGAGCTGACTCCTAACGCAAGTCGTTGGATGGCGTTGGCTAGGGTTCATACTGACAAACCCTACAGCCAATATTGGTTTTATCGGAATATGAGGGTGGCATGGGATCTAGCACAAGAGGTGAAAATCCGGCCTCTTGAGGATAATCTGTACTCTATGCAATTCTCATGCCTTGGCGACTGGGAGAGAGTAATGGATGAAGGTCCCTGGAACTTTAAAGGGAAAGTTGTGGTGATGGCGCCCTACGATGGATTCACCAAGCCCTCAACCATCGAGCTCATTAAGATGGATATTTGGGTTCAGATCCATGACCTCCCGCATGGTTTCTACTCCAAGATCAAAGCCCTGTCAGCTACTGTTGGCGAATTCTTATTCGCAGAACCCAAATCACACGATTTTGAGGGAAACTTTGCTCGCGTACGGGTGAAAATCGATGTTACCAAGCCTCTGAAGAATGTTGTCTCTCTAGTGGTCAAGAGGAAGGATACAATGTAACGAGTTTGAAAGATCGTGGATGTCGCCTAGAGGGGGGGGGGGTGAATAGGCGTTTTAAAATATTTACGGTTTCGGCTTGAACAAATGCGGAATAAACCTAACGGTTAATTTGTCAAGCACAAAACCTACAACAACTAGGCTCACCTATGTGCACCAACAACTTATGCTAAGCAAGATAAGCAACTATGTGATAGCAAGATATATGACAAGAACAATATGACTATCACAAAGTAAAGTGCATAAGTAAAGGGCTCGGGTAAGAGATAACCGAGGCACGCGGAGACGACGATGTATTCCGAAGTTCACACCCTTGCGGATGCTAATCTCCGTTTGGAGGGGTGTGGAGGCACAATGCTCCCCAAGAAGCCACTAGGGCCACCGTAATCTCCTCACGCCCTCGCACAATGCAAGATGCCGTGATTCTACTAAGGGACCCTTGAGGGCGGTCACCGAACCCGTACAAATGGCAACCCTTGGGGGCGGTCACCGAACCCGTACACTTTGGCAACCCTTGGGGGCGGTCACCGGAACCCGTCAAATTGCTCGGGGCGATCTCCACAACCTAATTGGAGACCCCGACGCTTGCTCGGAGCTTTACACCATAATGATTGAGCTCCGAACACCACCAACAGTCTAGGGCGCCCAAGCACCCAAGAGGAACAAGCTCAAGGGCACCAAGCACCCAAGAGTAATAAGCTTCTCAACTTGTAACTTCCACGTATCACCGTGGAGAACTCAAACCGATGCACCACATGCAATGGCAAGGGCACACGGAGTGCCCAAGTCCTTCTCTCTCAAATCCCACTGAAGCAACTAATGCTAGGGAGGAAAATGAGAGGAAGAACAAGAAGGAGAACACCAAGAACTCCAAGAACTAGATCCAAGGGGTTCCCCTCACATAGAGGATAAAGTGATTGGTGGAAATGTGGATCTAGATCTCCTCTCTCTTTTCCCTCAAAAACTAGCAAGAATCCATGGAGGGATTGAGAGTTAGCAAGCTCGAAGAAGGTCAACAATGGGGGCAAAAACGAGCTCAAGAGATAGGGAACCATTGGGGAAGAAGACCCCCTTAAATAGGTCCCCACGAATCTGCCCGTTATGTGCAGAAAGCTGTACGACTGGTACAACGGTGCACAAACCGGTACAACCGGCCAAAGCAGAGGAAAAACCAACCTGGGAAAAACTCTAAGCGGTACAATAGCCTGGGGAACCGGTAGTATCGGTTAAACCGGTAAAACCAGTCAACAACCGCCCAAGAACCGCTCCAAAACAGAAACTAGTCCGGTGGTAGAGCGGTACATGGCCGGAACAACCTCCGGACCAATTCTGGAGCGGTACAACCGCTCCAAACACCGGTGTACCGGTCAACCGGTACAACCTCTCTACGGGGCGGTACAACCTCTCTATGTATAACAGGCAATATCAAAACAGCCACAACTTTCACATACAAGCTCCGAATTCGATGAAACCAAGTTCGTTGGAAAGCTAGAAACAAGGGCTAACACAATCTTGATAGAAATATCAATAAGAAGCAAATGAGAAAATTCCCATAAGAAAATGGTGAGAACCCTTCCTTGGATAAGACCAGTGAAACCTCCAACACCGAAAACATCATAGAAGATGCATGCGAACTCCGTTTTCGATGAACTCAAGCTTGTCATCAAGATGACCATAAGCTCTAAGACTCACAAAGAGAACCAAACAAGAACCAAGAAACATGATGCAAGGATGCAATGGTTTGAGCTCTCTACTAATGATTGATCAAGCTACCAACTTGAGAGCCCCCCTTGATAGTACAGCAAACGATCCTATAACCCGGTCTCCCAACTACCACCACGAGACCGGTAAAATAGAAAACCTATCAAGGGCAAACCTTTGCTTGCACATGGTCCACTTGAGCTAGATGATGACGATCTTGACTCCCTCAAGTTGGACCACCTTTCTTGATTGTGTTGGCTCGATGAAGACTAGATGATTGCTCCCCCATAGTCCACTATGGGTGAGCCACTCTTCGGCTCATCTTCACAAGTCCATTGACACCACAATGGATGGCAAGATTCAAGCACTTGATCTCTTCGTGATGCTCCACTTGAACTTGCACACGGCAATCTTGATGACGATCACCACTTGATGTCATCCTTTCCATGGGTTGTATGATATCTTCCTCTTGATGCAAGCCCATGGATACGTACCTAACCTAACGATCACCACTTGATGTCATCCTTTCCATGGGTTGTATGAAATCTTCCTCTTGATGCAAGCCCATGGATACGTACCTAACCCCACATAGAACTCTCACATAGACCATGGGTTAGTACACAAAGTGCAATGGACAAAGCTTACCATACCATGGGATCACTTGATCCCTCTCGGTACATCTTCTACGCTTTGTGAGTTGATCAACTTGATTCACTATTGACTTAGTCCTGATCAACCTTAAATCTTTGCAACTCTCTTCATTTGGATGATGTATTGAAGGTAAACATGAATGATCACACAACCTTCTTCTTCAAGACATGCTTGCAATAAGCTCAACACTCGCATGACCAATCTTTGGATAATTCCTTAATAGCACCTTGGTCAACTCATAAACTCCTTGAAACCAACACATGGACTTCAAGAAAATCCTATGGACAAATCCTTCAATTATAACTCAAGACAACCATTAGTCCATAGAGATTGTCATCAATTACCAAAACTAAACATGGGGGCACCGCATGTTCTTTCAATCTCCCCCATTTTGGTAATTGATGACAATCACTTTCAAGAGAGTTTATATAAGGAATTATGCTTCACTATGCAATGCAACAACCAATAGTGCATGCGTATGAGATGCAAATGCTAAGGAACAAAACCAAAGCAAGAGGAGATAACTCTCTAAACTTCTCCACAAAACTCTCTGAAACTTCTCCCCCATTGGCATTGATTGCCAAAATGGGCGAAAAGCTAAGAAGGCCAATATAAATTGTGGTCCTCCATAAATTGTGTATTTCTCAACAAGAGAGTGGAATGCAATACACATATCCAACGGTTAATACTTGGAGGAACACAAACTATATTGAGGCCCAAAGATTGCAAAAGGAAGATATGCCACAAAGACATAATCAAAGAGAGAAAACAAGCAATCAAGCAATCAAAAGATACCAATTGAAGTAAGCTATCAAAAGATACCAATTGAACCAACTAGGCCAATGATCCTACGAGCCACATGAATAAAGGATATTATGATAAGAGCGGAGCAGTGTTCTAAAGAAACTAGAGAAGCTCCCCATGATTTGTGCACATCAAGAATTTTTGTATTTGGATACAAAGTGCACAAAATAGGATCATATCTCCCCCAAAATCAATAGAAACTTACAACAAGTGCAAGTGAGCATATAGGAAACAAAGCCTAGTACTTGCAACAAACACATGGTTGAGCAACAAGTAAAAGAGGCAACTTAAGAATGGGCTCAACCAAAATGATGTGTGTGAGTCATGGCGAAGCACTTGAGAAGACTAAAATTAGGATGAGCATTAAGCATCAACATAGTCTTGAAAGAATGAGGCACACGGTGCAAGGCCTGTCATTCCCACACACAACTAGCAAATGGGTTCACAAGCTTACTAATAAGCATATAAAGAACTTATGCTTGTGACAACCCGTGGTGAAGATAGAAGATGAAAGCCTCATCAAGACGAGGGATGCCAATTAAGATGGCAAAAGCCTCGTAACGATAAGCGTGAGGAAAATAATCTTCACCACACAAGAGTGCATCAAGATGCAACGATAGAGGACACGCACTCAAGGCAAAAGCTTTCACGGAGCCACCAAAGAAATAACATAAGAAAGACAAGGTGGACGTGAAAGAAAGGATATCAACTAGAGATGTAATTTCTCTCAAGTGTATAAGGTTCT